AAAACTTCAAATATGCAAGGGAAAAACTATATTGCTGTTGAAATTAAGGAGTTCCTATCTATTATTTGTAATATTATGGGCCCTCAACAAATGTTAGCTGGAACGCAGATTGCAGGCTGTACCACATTCAACATATTAACATTCCCAAAAAGCATACAAAACTACGTCATCTGAGAACACGGAAACCCATCTGAGTACCTTGGTACTCCTTCAGTTGTAATTTCTGCTCCAAGCTGCTCCAATAGCTCCCTGGCTGTGGATATATACTGCAACTGGAGGCTGTCAGTGCCAGCACATGCCGGACCAAAAAGATAAAGATTAAAGAGAGAATATTCATCAGCGACCATCCGTTAAAACTGAGCAAAAAACATAACGAAGCAAAGCAAATTCCAACACTGAATTTTCATCACATTCATTTTAACAACAGCAAAAAGATTCACAGGTAATCTGTATCTTCCTTCTCCAGCTAAGTAAGTTACAGAACATAGCCTGCTCAAGCGTTGAACAGAAACGGAGCATGGAGCAAATCTAATGAGATTAGAGGAGCTACACCTACATGGGCAAGCTTGGCCTGATTCTGCTGCCGAGGAGCCTCCTGAAGCAGCCTTCTGAGGTTCACTTCCACCCTGCTGAACACCATGATCAAGGGGACCAATACCTGCTGAATCATTTAGAAGGAGCAGGCCATATTACACCATATACAGAGGGGTGAAAGCAAATTTCACATTTAAGCAAATCTATTCTGGCTTCTAACAGTAATATCAAACAATCAGAGAAGTGCTACAGAACAGTCAGACACTCAGACCAGCAATGGCGAGACCACCAGATTGTGAGGAAATGGAGTTCAGGCACTATTAAGGATGTGTAGTGTCAAAAACGTTCTTATATTATGGGACGGAGGGAGTAGAACACTTGTATGAGACTTGATGCAAAGTTCTTCAGATACGCATCGGCAACAAATTCACAGTATCTTGCACATCTGAATCCAGCCACTGATTTAACCAATGAATCTGATGGATGTAACAAGCTAGTTCAGTCAGTGAATCACCGAGCCTGACCTCTCACTGCAAAATGGATTCGGCGCCGCGGGTGGGATCTCTCCTGTTCGGCGGCTCGGAGACGGGAGATGCCCGCCAAAGCACCACGGCGCCCTGCTCTCGTCCGCCCTATCCCGTCACATTGATATGGTGGCGGAAGGAGGAGCGGTTGGCGAACGATGCGGGTGGGGTGTGCGAGGCGGATGAGGCCAGATCCTCGGCGGAGAGGCGCCGGCCAGTTAGCGCGGGTCCTGCGGGGGCAGAGGCGACGCAGGCTCTGCAGGGGCAGGCGGGCACGGCGGCGCGACACCGGCGACGAGCCTAGGCGGTGAAGAGTTTTTTTTAAGCTGTCTTATTTTCCAATAAATAAACCATTATTTTCATATGAGCTAAATTGCTCTGTAACTCATTTTAGTCCCTCTACTACTTCAAAATACTTAAAATACGGTCACTAAACTTGCCCTGCTGGTTCAAATACGGTATTCATACATTTAGTCGCTCTACTTCATATGGTCACTAAACTAACCAGAGGTTACCACTTCGGGGGACCTCGTGGGGATCACTTTTGATGCCCTAGGAGCGTGTCAAATGGTGTGTCCAGCCACCGCCACATGTTGTATGACGGGCGCTCTCTTCAGATCTTGTTTTTATTTTTGTGTATGCCTTTTTGAGTTTTAGATGGGATTTTTTTGTTTTCCATTTTTCACATGGTTATATTTTCTTTGTGAAATGCACCAGTACTTTTCAAAAAAAAATCCATACTTTCACGAGAAGCACATATTTGCTTCTCATAGAAGCATGATTTTTCTTTTGTGAACTTCGTTTCTCGAGAAAAAAAAGTTGTCCTTTCAAGAGGAGTATATATTTGCTTCTCGTGGAAGCACATTTTTTCCCCGAGAAGCACAGATTTGCTTCTGGGAGAAGTGCTTCTCGGAAAGGGGAAAAGTTGTGCTTCCTTAAGAAGCACGGCAAGAAAACATAGATGTTCTTTTCGAAAAAGGGAAAAATTTGTGTTTCCACGAGAAACACAGGTTTGTTTTTTTGTGAAAGCATAGATTTACTTCCTGAGAAGCATGAAAACAATATGCTTTCACGAGAAGCACAAATTTGCTTCCGCGAGAAGCACAACTATGATTCTAAATAAAAGTGAAAACCACAACCATGCGTTCAGGTTTCAATTTTTTTCCTTTTTTGGTATTTCTTTTTTTCATTTTTTCCCCTTTTCCAACTTTTCTGTTTTTTATGAAAAAATAGTCAAAACTTATTAACATGGATCTAGTTTTGAAGAACTCGATGCGGGAAATCCAAACGTCAAAACAGCCGAAAGTTGGACGCACGATTCAAAGGATAAAATGTTTTGAATAAACAAAATCTATGAAAAAAAACTCCGCGGAATGGACAAGTAAGTGACACATACAATGCGTCATTTTTCAACCCTTAAATCTTTTTGAGGGCTTGTCAACCTTAACTTTTTTTAAGGGATTTATCAACCCTTAACTTTTTTTAGAAGTAACATCACACTTTATTCAAACTTCAAAGTTCAAAGGAATACATATGGTGGGGGCGGGGGGAGGATTATATAACCAAACATGCGGGGCAACCTCGAGTGAGGTCGCCATTCTAGCTAATTTGTGAGCCTCCTCATTACATGTGGACTGTGATGAGGATATAGACCTAGGGTAGGGTCATAGGCCTGACCTAGGTGCCCTACCCAAGGTCACTACCCTAGAGGCAAAGAAGCTCAAGAGATAGAAGGAAGTACCCAAGGAAGACGTTGAGTGTTAGACCACTCGACCAACCATATCACTCGGGTACCCCAACTTTACGAAGATCACTCGACCTATGAAGACCAGGAGTCAGACGGAAGTACAACTGTCGGACATTCACTCTGTAGTCTTTATAGACATTAATGGTACTTAAAGCTAGCGATATCAGTAATGCCCCTCCTTTATGAACATTGAACCCTCTGTAACGGAGGGGAGCTGGGGTCCTGGCGCACTCTATATAAGCCACCCCCCTCCTCTGGCACAAGGGTTCACACCCCCTGTAACCCACACGCATGTACTGAAGTCCAGTCGACCGCCTCCGGGCACCGAGACGTAGGGCTTTTACCTCCTCCGAGAGGGGTCTGAACTCGTAAACACTTGCGTACAACCTCACCGTAGCTAGGGCCTTGCCTCCTCCTACGTACCCCCTATTCTTACTGTCAGTCTTAGTACCACGACAGACTGCTCATGGCATATTTCACATGCCAAAAACTTTAACTCGTTGTCCTTGATCTCAAGAAAAATTATGCAACAATCTCCTCTGTTGTTTTCCATGTGTAGATCATTTACCAGTTCCAAGCAATCCGAAGCAACTCAAATCCTGGCAAGACCGAGGTCTTCTCCAAGAGCAAAAGCTTCTTCGCAAGCATATGCTTCAATCATCACCAGACTCATTACCCATTCAAATACAAATGTAGAAGCAACCAGAAAATTTCCATCTCCATCTCGGCAAACCACCCCGGTTGCTCCCCTATTCGTCGATTTGGCTAAAGCCCCATCTGCATTGACCTTTGCTTCTCCTTGCGTTGGGGGAAGCCATTTGCAAACTCTCTCAAGGCCCCCACACACACTTTGCCATGTTTACACTCAAGGACGACCGCATATCAACCCTTACCTTTTTTTTTCTTTTGAGAAACATGTCTGTGATTTCGGGAAGGAGAGCAACAAGAAAAAGCCCATATATAGCTTTCGGCCCGTCGGACGGCCCCGCTAACCCAGCCCGCCATCACACACTTGGCTCCCATTCTAAACTCTCGTCTGTCGTCTCCCCTCCCCCCCACCGCCGCCTCCAAACCTCCCCGCAGCCATGGCGCGCCGCCACCTCCTCCCGCTCCTCTCCCGCACCCCCCACGCCCCCACCCCCACTCCCACTCCCATCCACCTCCGCCACGCCTTCTGCTCC